ACCTCCTTCTCAATTCACTGAACGCCCTGGACCTGACAACTCGTGTGAGCTTTATTCAATCTCACTATTATTCTACACTGCAGTACCCACTTTCCGTGCTCTTTGGTATCTCTCTTTTGTTGTACCAACTGAACCCGCAGTTTGCACTAACCAAATTGACAATTCGCATGCAAGCTCGACACTTGGAGCCGACACTTGTGCTGTGGTTCATTCGGGACTTGATCTCTCTGACCTCTGCTAACGCTCACGACCAGATTTGAGGGCGATAAGGATGACATTTCCTTGTCTGCTCTCTCCGACTTTTCGTCAACCGGTTTGTATCGAGAAATCTGTTGGGTTACAAAAGTTCGACTGACATTTGTTTTAACTGAAATGCGATTGAAGAAGGGACTCCAAAGCCCAATCCTACAAGAGGACGATGAAAAAGTCCTCCTCGCCAGATATTTAGTTTCGTGGTACGAATAAATGAATGGTTACAAAAAACGAGTATTTATATTAAAAAAGTTAACAACACTATCATTTGATCTTGAATATGAGTTCCACAAGGTGATGAAAGATAATGCATTTTCCCACATACTAATGAGTAAGCCTCAAGTTTCCATTGAAACTCAGCCAATCATTAGAATATTCAGCAACCAAAAATGAATATAACTATTTACAAGTGTATGTAGAAAAAAAATATAAAGTAATAAATAAACACGTAATGAGTATATTTCTCAACTAACAGTAAATCTGGACCAAGAAATTTAGTCAGCATAAGTCACTTTAGACGATGTAGGTCTTGGCTTTGACAGAAAAGTGAGTGAACAAGGCACTTCGCAAGTCGATGCTACCGCTGCTGATAAAAAATCAACGAATTTGGCTATTAGACCCGTATTGAAGAATACTACTGAGCTGATACTACTTGTTTAAAAAAAAATAGGGTCATTACTTTATCTACCACCAGCATCTATTGATGGTGGTTTTGTGCTCCTCTTGGAGAAGGTTAAGGATATTCCTTTGATGGATATTCTAGTCAAATGAATAAAGTTGACAGATAACTTGTCGGAAATGGGTAACAGCATCCGAATAGAAAAGAGTCGTCATTTTCTTCAAACAATTATTGCAAAGAAGTCCAATGATGTGGCTATGATTTGTAGATATCTGCATCAGGGCAAGATATCCATTTGGAAGGCAGATGAGCGTGTGGCAGATGTCGTCATGTGCAGGTCGAATTATGCAAAAATGGCGTCGGTCAATTTGAACAGGATTCAGTCAAGCAAATCAACTCACTGTCCTCTTCTGATGTGATCACACTTCGAGCATCTTCATCACAAGCCCGATCATTCGCCTCTCCCAGCTCCCATCTACACCGAGCCGCCATCTTTTGTCTCTTTCCCGGCTTCAACTCTACCCACTGGCCCTTACGATTGTCTCTCAACAGCCGCTCAATCGCAATCTCATTCTCTCTTGTCCAAGCCACTTCTTACATCGGGACTTGTCATTTTTCACTTTGCGCAGGCCAGGCTGGCGGCATGACTAGCAGTTGCTCAGCTCCGCAACTGAACTGATTCGGCGCCATCTTGTTTAACCAAGCAATACACGCAAATCCTGTCCTTCTATTTGGCATTTTCTTTATCACCAACGTGCCATGCATATTCACTTGCCGCCCATTATTCACCAATGAATGCGATATGAACAAGGCTATTGGTAATTACAACTTGCATTAAGTAGCTCTTTATGAAAAGTTTACATTAAGTCTAATTCCATAAATATTGAAGCATAAATTGTAAATCCTTTACGTCTGTCAGAGCAAAATAACCTGTTTGTTTTAGTTAAACTTTGGCATTTCTTCGAAGTGGAATCTGAACAATTGTGGTTTTATGTCAACACGAAGCATGCTCACAGATGTTTCACCGGTAGCATAAATCAACTGCAAAATTCACATCATCCCACCGTTATTCACTAATGCTGCCACTGGCATCGAGCTAAACACAATACCACCTTTGTCTTTATATCGACGAGCTTAGCAATATTGACTGAAGTATTCCTGTTTTTTGACAATCCTCTATGATCATTCTTATCAAGCCTCATGTGAAGTGTTTATTTTAGAAGCTACTTCTCCTCTGTTCACATTCGTTCGTGTGGCCTCAAACCTTCTTACTCGAGGCTTCTCGTAAACTGCCGAAATATCGGCAGATGACCTGGCGTCTAATGACAGAGGCCAGCGTAAAGGTTATTGTTCTTCGGGGCAGCCATGACAACACGAACGTATTATGGTAACGATGCTATATCGTTGCTGTAGATATACAGCAAAGCTAAATCTACAAATCCTCCTAAATAAGTTGATACTTGTTTAACTTTACTGTAACTTGAATAAAGGATTGTTTTACCGTTTAGAGTGTTGATTTCTTACAAACACGATCCGACCCGATTAATCCATGCTCCGTTTTAGCGCTCATTCTACCGTGACAGACGTAGTGAGGGCAGGAAGGCATGTTTTATGAATATTAGTCTTAGTGAGAATTGTATTCCGCCTTGGTTGAAAAGAATGAAGAACTGAAATTGACTGCAATTTCGAACTCGCATGAACGGGAATCGAGCATGGCTAATATGTACAGCCTACCTTTTCGACATGCCACCACTAAGCCAGATTGCCATGGATACCAGCGGGCCAGAGAGGGTATGTGAATTTAAAGTCTGGATATGTCTCAACCCTTTCGCAGGTCACATATTCTAGAGGGATTCTGGAAAAATACACTCAACTGCACTACTTATATTCAGATTAAGTAGGCTTCGAATACACTTATTCTACTAGAACTATTGTAATGGCCTCAAGACCTACGATTATTACTGCAAATATAAGATTTACTTTAGAAAGTGTGATATTGTAGAGGCCTGGCTAGTCCTGAAAGTATACTTTTCACTAGTCAGCTTCTAGTCCCGTTGAAGGTGCTGAGAATGGTTCAGGCGAGTTCTAAACGGCAGTAAAGTTTAATCCAAGAGCGTTTTAATGGCGTATTAAGGCATGTTCTCCTGATTGTGGTAAAAACGCAACTGTCTACTCTTCTTCGTCATATGTGACTCGGAGTGACTTGAATTTGTGTCTAAGATCTACAGTAACAGTTGCTTATACTACTCAATCTGAATATAAGTAATGCTTTGTCGAATTTAAAACCATAAAATGTGCAATGGCTTTGAAAGTGTTGTCTATCCTGTGCCTGACACACGAGAACTCAGTAAAATGTGGCGCAAGAGCTTCATGTCGAAATTTGGCGCTGAGTTGCCTTGGTATGTTGACGGTAGACGGTAAGGCGAAGTTGGAATTGCCTTCCGAGGTACAGCAAAGTGAAGTTTAACAGCATTCTAAGCCAGCAAAAATGTATCGTAGCTGGTCTATCCAATAGTTGTCGTGGTGGGTGAAATTGTTAAAAGCATGATTTCAAGCTCTAAGCATGTCCGTGACGGCGGTGTCAGCACAAAAGTTCAGCACAGATTGATCGCATCGTGGGGGACTGGGCCGACCTGGGATCAGGCGAGTTTCCATGACTACCCTCCACTCACCGGCTCAAATCGGTACAGACCGATTTTGGACTGTCAACGCAGATTGGGACGACACCGATTGTACGATTGTCAGTGCTCCACGAATCTCGTGAGTCGGTTTGGAAACCGGATCGTCCGGACGACCCAGAGACTCGTCGACTCCTCTTTCTCGACCCGACCGAGTCAACATGTTTCGAGTTGTCAACCTGCGAGTACAGCCACCAACATGAGCCCACTTCTTGGCTCGTGTGTGGATGAGAGGGAGCATGGACAGATTGTTGTAATGAAATGATTCGCTGCCATGGCAACCGAGGGTCTGGTGCCTCATGCCGGCCGAAGCCCGTTTTACAGCAGCCCGACACCAGACTGGTGGAGAACACACAGACAAATAGCATGTGTCCACATCTTACCTGTGCCCATGAGGGTCTGGTTGACGATGATCAGAGCAATCGTGACGGCCGTCGCGAAGGCAACCAACAGACAGGTTGAGGCGATGAGACCGCGTAACCGACGTCGTTGGATTTGTACTGATGCTGGTTGTTGAGCGTCGCTGGGTGTGACCAAATTTTGCCGCATGGTACCGATCGTGAGGGTTAGACTTTGGCCTGCCGGACGAGAAGGGTCTTTGGTGAAATGAGTCTGGATACTTGAGACCTGAAGCTCGAGAAGTGTAGGTGGAAGAGAAAATAAAAAGAAATAGAAGAAGAAGTGGCAAGAGAATGAAAGAAGCAAGATAAGAAAGAAAAGAAG